GTGTTATGTAGTGGTGGTTCTGGAGTGTAGGAGACTCTGGTGTTATGTAGTGGTGATTCTGGAGTGTAGGAGATACTGGTGTTATGTGGTGGTTCTAGAGTGTAGTGTAGGAGACTCTGGTGTTATGTAGTGGTGGTTCTGGAGTGTAGGAGACACTCGTGTTATGTAGTGGTGGTTCTAGGGTGTAGGAGACACTGGTGTTAAGTGGTGGTTTTAGAGTGTAGGAGGCTGGTGTTATGTAGTGGTGGTTCTGGAGTGTAGGAGACACTGGTGTTATGTAGTGGTGGTTCTGGAGTGTAGGAGACACTGGTGTTATGTAGTGGTGATTCTGGAGTGTAGGAGACACTGGTGTTATGTGGTGGCTCTAGAGTGTAGTGTAGGAGACTCTGGTGTTATGTAGTGGTAGTTCTGGAGTGTAGGAGACACTGGTGTTATGTAGTGGTGGTTCTGGAGTGTAGGAGACACTGGTGTTATGTAGTGGTGGTTCTGGAGTGTAGGAGACACTGGTGTTATGTGGTGGTTCTAGAGTGTAGGAGACTGGTGTTATGTAGTGGTGGTTCTAGGGTGTAGGAGACACTGGTGTTATGTAGTGGTGGTTCTGGAGTGTAGGAGACACTGGTGTTATATGGTGGTTCTAGAGTGTAGGAGACTCTGATGTTCTGTAGTGGTGGTTCTGGAGTGTAGGAGACACTGGTGTTATGTAGTGGTGGTTCTGGAGTGTAGGAGACACTGGTGTTATGTGGTGGTTCTAGAGTGTAGGAGACTCTGGTGTTATGTAGTGGTGGTTCTGGAGTGTAGGAGACACTGGTGTTATGTGGTGGGTCTAGAGTGTAGGAGACTCTGGTGTTATGTAGTGGTGGTTCTGGAGTGTAGGAGACCCTGGTGTTATATGGTGGTTCTAGAGTGTAGGAGACACTGGTGTTATGTAGTGGTGGTTCTGGAGTGTAGGAGACACTGGTGTTATGTAGTGGTGGTTCTGGAGTGTAGGAGACACTGGTGTTATGTAGTGGTGGTTCTGGAGTGTAGAGACACTGGTGTTATGTAGTGGTGGTTCTGGAGTGTAGGAGACACTGGTGTTATGTGGTGGTTCTAGAGTGTAGGAGACACTGGTGTTATGTAGTGGTGGTTCTGGAGTGTAGGAGACACTGGTGTTATGTGGTGGTTCTAGAGTGTAGGAGACACTGGTGTTATGTGGTGGTTCTAGAGTGTAGGATACACTGGTGTTATGTAGTGGTGGTTCTGGAGTGTAGGAGACACTGGTGTTATGTGGTGGTTCTAGACTGTAGGATACACTGGTGTTATGTAGTGGTGGTTCTGGAGTGTAGGAGACACTGGTGTTATGTAGTGGTGGTTCTGGAGTGTAGGAGACACTGGTGTTATGTGGTGGTTCTAGAGTGTAGGAGACACTGGTGTTATGTAGTGGTGGTTCTGGGGTGTAGGAGACACTGGTGTTATGTGGTGGTTCTAGAGTGTAGGAGACACTGGTGTTATGTGGTGGTTCTAGAGTGTAGGATACACTGGTGTTATGTAGTGGTGGTTCTGGAGTGTAGGAGACACTGGTGTTATGTGGTGGTTCTAGAGTGTAGGATACACTGGTGTTATGTAGTGGTGGTTCTGGAGTGTAGGAGACACTGGTGTTATGTGGTGGTTCTAGAGTGTAGGAGACACTGGTGTTATGTAGTGGTGGTTCTGGAGTGTAGGAGACACTGGTGTTATGTGGTGGTTCTAGAGTGTAGGAGACACTGGTGTTATGTGGTGGTGGTTCTGGAGTGTAGGAGACACTGGTGTTATGTGGTGGTTCTAGAGTGTAGGAGACACTGGTGTTATGTGGTGGTGGTTCTGGAGTGTAGGAGACACTGGTGTTATGTAGTGGTGGTTCTGGAGTGTAGGAGACACTGGTGTTATGTAGTGGTGGTTCTAGAGCGTAGGAGACACTGGTGTTATGTAGTGGTGGTTCTGGAGTGTAGGAGACACTGGTGGAGAACAAACATTGTGGTTGACGAGGAGACTGGCGGTGCAGGATAATATTCCGCTCAATCTTTCATTAGAAGTTCCTTGGTGTGGGTGAGAGGTTCCTTGATGTCGGTGAGTGGCTCTTGATGGAATGAGTTTGGCTTATTCTCTCCTTGGATCAAGCCTTAAAGAGTCCCATTCTCCATGCATTGTATGATCCTTGAAGGTTTAGCGCTCTCCCATGGTAATAATTTAGGGTACATATTCACTGAGAAGAATTAAACCATATGGAGATACAACGACGTGTGAATGGGAGATATTCAGGTTTGATCCAAGGAAGGAGAAGGTGGCTCAATTCATTGGAGCAAGAGCTCTCCAAGGATATGGAGGCACTTCTAGAAGCGGCCAAACTGGATAAAACTATGAATTCGATAAAGAGAATGGATATCACCACATTTGATTTCACCAGACTAACTGCACAAATCTGAAGCGACTCAGAACAACGTTTCTTAAGTGTGATACTTGTGTTGCGTCGTGTGGTGGATTACCAGGGTGTAGGTGGATGTCACAGTGTGATTCTTGTGTTGCGTCGTGTGGTGGATTACCAGTTTGTAGGTGGCCGTCACAGTGTGGTTCTTGTGTTGCGTCGTGTGGTGGATTACCAGGGTGTAGGTGGCCGTCACAGTGTGATACTTGTGTTGCGTCGTGTGGTGGATTACCAGGGTGTAGGTGGCTGTCACAGTGTGATACTTGTGTTGCCTCGTGTGGTGGATTACCAGGGTGTAGGTGGCTGTCACAGTGTGATACTTGTGTTGCGTCGTGTGGTGGATTACCAGGGTGTAGGTGGCTGTCACAGTGTGATACTTGTGTTGCGTCGTGTGGTGGATTACCAGGGTGTAGATGGCTGTCACAGTGTGATACTTGTGTTGCGTCGTGTGGTGGATTACCAGGGTGTAGGTGGCTGTCACAGTGTGATACTTGTGTTGCGTCGTGTGGTGGATTACCAGGGTGTAGGTGGCTGTCACAGTGTGATACTTGTGTTGCGTCGTGTGGTGGATTACCAGGGTGTAGGTGGCTGTCACAGTGTGATACTTGTGTTGCGTCGTGTGGTGGATTACCAGGGTGTAGGTGGCTGTCACAGTGTGATTCTTGTGTTGCGTCGTGTGGTGGATTACCAGGGTGTAGGTGGCTGTCACAGTGTGATTCTTGTGTTGCGCCGTGTGGTGGATTACCAGGGTGTAGGTGGCTGTCACAGTGTGATACTTGTGTTGCGCCGTGTGGTGGATTACTAGGGTGTAGGTGGCTGTCACAGTGTGATTCTTGTGTTGCGCCGTGTGGTGGATTACCAGGGTGTAGGTGGCTGTCACAGTGTGATACTTGTGTTGCGTCGTGTGGTGGATTACCAGGGTGTAGGTGGCTGTCACAGTGTGATTCTTGTGTTGCGTCGTGTGGTGGATTACCAGGGTGTAGGTGGCTGTCACAGTGTGATTCTTGTGTTGCGCCGTGTGGTGGATTACTAGGGTGTAGGTGGCTGTCACAGTGTGATTCTTGTGTTGCGTCGTGTGGTGGATTACCAGGGTGTAGGTGGCTGTCACAGTGTGATACTTGTGTTGCGTCGTGTGGTGGATTACCAGGGTGTAGGTGGCTGTCACAGTGTGATTCTTGTGTTGCGTCGTGTGGTGGATTACCAGTTTGTAGGTGGCCGTCACAGTGTGGTTCTTGTGTTGCGTCGTGTGGTGGATTACCAGGGTGTAGGTGGCCGTCACAGTGTGATACTTGTGTTGCGTCGTGTGGTGGATTACCAGGGTGTAGGTGGCTGTCACAGTGTGATACTTGTGTTGCCTCGTGTGGTGGATTACCAGGGTGTAGGTGGCTGTCACAGTGTGATACTTGTGTTGCGTCGTGTGGTGGATTACCAGGGTGTAGGTGGCTGTCACAGTGTGATACTTGTGTTGCGTCGTGTGGTGGTTACCAGGGTGTAGGTGGCTGTCACAGTGTGATACTTGTGTTGCGTCGTGTGGTGGATTACCAGGGTGTAGGTGGCTGTCACAGTGTGATACTTGTGTTGCGTCGTGTGGTGGGTTACCAGGGTGTAGGTGGCTGTCACAGTGTGATACTTGTGTTGCGTCGTGTGGTGGATTACCAGGGTGTAGGTGGCTGTCACAGTGTGATACTTGTGTTGCGTCGCGTGGTGAATTACCAGGGTGTAGGTGGCTCTCACAGTGTGATACTTGTGTTGCGTCGTGTGGTGGATTACCAGGGTGTAGGTGGCTGTCACAGTGTGATACTTGTGTTGCGTCGTGTGGTGGGTTACCAGGGTGTAGATGGCCGTCACAGTGTGATACTTGTGTTGCGTCGTGTGGTGGATTACCAGGGTGTAGGTGGCTGTCACAGTGTGATACTTGTGTTGCGTCGCGTGGTGAATTACCAGGGTGTAGGTGGCTGTCACAGTGTGATACTTGTGTTGCGTCGTGTGGTGAATTACCAGGGTGTAGGTGGCTGTCACAGTGTGATACTTGTGTTGCGTCGTGTGGTGGATTACCAGGGTGTAGGTGGCCGTCACAGTCCAGTCTGGCCATTTACCAGAAGGTTGATCAGGCAACTTGTTATTGCTATCTTTAAAACAAAACGGTAGGTACATTTACTGTCTCTGACTTGAACTAAACTACGAATTACGCATTAATCTTACGTTTAGGTTATAAATTTCTCGAATATCATAATTTAGAGGTATATATGAATGTAAATATATGTTTAGGGTATTTGTGCAGGCTAAGATTCATGCCTCTCAAGTTATTATGAAAGAGAGTAATGAAGCATAAGGGATACCACTCACGAGTTTCTACTCTACGGATATTAAGCGAGGGTAATACATAATGAAAATCACTCACATTAGTCCTTGATTAAAAACAAATTCCCAGACGACACGAACTGAGCAAAAGTTAGGCTAATATTGTCGAAAGATGAAAGATGGGAAGTCTTGAAACACAGCTCAGTGCCCCAACCTGGAGGTCGTTCCTAGGGTCAACCCACCACCCGCGGCCGTCCTTGACCAGGCCTAGTGGTGGCTCAGGACCTGATCAACCAAGCTGTTTCTACTGGCCGCACGCAATACCATGTATGAACCACAGCCTGGTTGATCGGACACTGCCTTTAAGTATTTGTTCCTTACGAGTGTAAACATAAGAAGAAAACATAAGAAAGGGTGAGTGAGGATGTGGAAAACTGAATTTCTCACAAGATACCAGTTTAGAGACTCAGGAGAGAAAGAATGTTAGTTAACCTTACAGAGATGTGCATGAAAGATGAGGGGTGTTGTGGATCACGGATGTGGAGGAGGGTTTTGGGATCAAGAGTGGTATATATGGGTAGTGGGGAAATTTTGTTTCGGGTAAGGGTGGGTAGAGGGTGGAGGGGCAGGGTGGGCAGGTTGGCACATCATCACAGTAGCTGGCAAGTGGGGCAGGGCGCGGGTGTGTGTTGGCTGCCATGCCCAGCTGTGCCGTCGTAGCCACGCGGGTTTTCACCTCATGTCCGTGACTTGGCCTCAGTCTTGCTCCTGCCTAGCGGTGACCGGTCGCGCTGCGTCCATGACTGCCTTCAGTCGTGTTCTGAGCTGGCGGTGACCGATTGTGTCGTGTCCGTGATTCGCGGTGATAGATTTGCATGGTGTTGTGGTGAGGTTGCTCAAGTGTTCGTGATTGTGCACACGGTTCAATGAGGCGGTATTATGCCTGGTGCTCACTCCACTGTACAAATGTTTCCTACAAAGCCTCCAGAATGAAGAAAGTTCAAAGCATGTAAATAACAGTATATCATAATCGGTGTGGTTTTGCCAAAGTGAAGGTGCGTATTTAGGGCGGATTATGGAAAAATATTAATTTATATAAGTGTTTTGTAATATTATTGTAAATATATGTGTCAGTAGATATTTTATATATGACACTGAACACAATAGAGAAGTACAAGTATGTTGAACAATGTGTTGTGTTGTAAGCTTATTTGTTAAGAAAAAAAGTCTACTGTATAAAGATGACCCGTTGAGTGATGCCGGCACTGTGGCGGGTCACAGTAGCAGCGATCACTGAGTTACCCGAGCTGGTTCCATCATCTGAGTGACGTGATGTTGTGGTAGTATCACCGAAAAGGTAGGAAGACACCTGCTGGGAGGGAGGAAGGAAGGGTAGGGGCTGCCCATCTCTGCTCAACAAATTGATGACAAGTTCCTCCTAGAGAGGTACTGCGACACCCGGAGCGATACTCAGGAACACACTCAACTAACATTATTCCAACTCACAATGAGCAAGAATTACAAAAAATCACACACAAACAGACAATTTAGATATAATTAGGGAGATATAAATAAGGTCTTGAGGATGTCTCTTCAAGAAAGAACTCAAAATAATGGATTCAAATTGGAAAAAAATTAGATTTAGAACGCATATAGGAAAATATTGGTTTGGAAAGAGTAGTCGATCTTACCTACTTATATTTTTATTATTGAAAATACAAGGAAAATGGTAATTTCCGGTAGTTAATTTTACAGCAGTGAGATAGACACAACGACACTTGGGCGGTCACAACCCCTGGTTAACATCACTCATCCTGGGTGAACACATGGTTATACACTAGGGCGGTCACAACCCCTGGGTAGCATCACTCATCCTAGGTGAACACATGGTTATACACTACGGCGGTCACAACCCCTGGGTAGCATCACTCATCCTGGGTGAACACATGGTTATACACTAGGGCGGTCACAACCCCTGGGTAGCATCACTCATCCTAGGTGAACACATGGTTATACACTACGGCGGTCACAACCCCTGGGTAGCATCACTCATCCTGGGTGAACACATGGTTATACACTAGGGCGGTCACAGCCCCTGGGTAGCATCACTCATCCTGGGTGAACACATGGTTATACACTACGGCGGTCACAACCCCTGGGTAGCATCACTCATCCTGGGTAAACACATGGTTATACACTAGGGCGGTCACAACCCCTGGTTAACATCACTCATCCTGGGTAAACACATGGTTATACACTAGGGCGGTCACAACCCCTGGTTAACATCACTCATCCTGGGTAAACACATGGTTATACACTAGGGCGGTCACAACCCCTGGGTAGCATCACTCATCCTGGGTAAACACATGGTTATACACTAGGGCGGTCACAACCCCTGGGTAGCATCACTCATCCTGGGTGAACACATGGTTATACACTAGGGCGGTCACAACCCCTGGGTAGCATCACTCATCCTGGGTAAACACATGGTTATACACTAGGGCGGTCACAACCCCTGGTTAACATCACTCATCCTGGGTGAACACATGGTTATACACTAGGGCGGTCACAACCCCTGGTTAACATCACTCATCCTGGGTGAACTCATGGTTATACACTAGGGCGGTCACAACCCCTGGTTAACATCACTCATCCTGGGTGAACACATGGTTATACACTAGGGCGGTCACAACCCCTGGTTAACATCACTCATCCTGGGTGAACATATGGTTATACACTTGGGCGGTCACAACCCCTGGTTAACATCACTCATCCTGGGTGAACACATGGTTATACACTAGGGCGGCTGTACAACCCCTGGGTAGCACCACTCATCCTGGGTGAACACATGGTTATACACTTGGGCGGTCACAACCCCTGGGTAGCATCACTCATCCTGGGTGAACACATGGTTATACACTAGGGCGGTCACAGCCCCTGGGTAGCACCACTCATCCTGGGTGAACACATGGTTATACACTAGGGCGGTCACAACCCCTGGGTAGCATCACTCATCCTGGGTAAACACATGGTTATACACTAGGGCGGTCACAGCCCCTGGGTAGCATCACTCATCCTGGGTAAACACATGGTTATACACTAGGGCGGTCACAACCCCTGGGTAGCATCACTCATCCTGGGTGAATACATGGTTATACACTAGGGCGGTCACAACCCCTGGGTAGCATCACTCATCCTGGGTGAACACATGGTTGTACACTAGGGCGGTCACAGCCCCTGGGTAGCATCACTCATCCTGGGTGAACATATGGTTATACACTAGGGCGGTCACAGCCCCTGGGTAGCATCACTCATCCTGGGTGAACACATGGTTATACACTAGGGCGGTCACAGCCCCTGGGTAGCATCACTCATCCTGGGTGAACACATGGTTATACACTAGGGCGGTCACAGCCCCTGGGTAGCATCACTCATCCTGGGTGAACACATGGTTGTACACTAGGGCGGTCACAACCCCTGGGTAGCATCACTCATCCTGGGTGAACACATGGTTATACACTAGGGCGGTCACAGCCCCTGGGTAGCATCACTCATCCTGGGTAAACACATGGTTATACACTAGGGCGGTCACAACCCCTGGGTAGCATCACTCATCCTGGTGAACACATGGTTATACACTAGGGCGGTCACAACCCCTGGGTAGCATCACTCATCCTGGGTGAACACATGGTTATACACTAGGGCGGTCACAGCCCCTGGGTAGCATCACTCATCCTGGGTAAACACATGGTTATACACTAGGGCGGTCACAACCCCTGGGTAGCATCACTCATCCTGGGTGAACACATGGTTATACACTAGGGCGGTCACAGCCCCTGGGTAGCATCACTCATCCTGGGTGAACACGTACTTATACACAGTGGCTGTACCACAGCCTTCACCACAGCCTGTACCACAGCCTGTACCACAGCCTGCTAGTTGGGATAACAATTCTATCCTTAACACTTTCAATATACAGGCATCACTGTTGTGCTTAATAAGGAGACTGGGTCTGGTAGACAGAACTGACCTATAAATAATTATTTGGAAAACTTTCTTTTATGCTCTTATTATTGTATATTTTTCTTAAACAAAATAGCATAAAAACAGTGAACTTTGTACCAAGACTAACTAAGACACCTCACATAAACTTACTAAACTTATCGTAGTATAATTCAGTTTAATCCACCGAACTTATTTTACGTCAGGCTAAATTTGTGAGTATATATTTAAATTGTAATGGCATATATACATTTCGTGACGTTCAGACTGATTTTTATGGAGTTACTGCAAAACGAATTTTCACCATTCTTATTCAGCGAGGAGGACCTTGTTTTATATCCTAAGTAGCAGATTAGTTAACACTGATCTGCAGTTCAACGCTATTTGTGCAGTTAGTATTCTCTCTCATATACATCACTAACTTTACAGGTTTACACTGTCTAACTGCAGCAAATCTTGAATATTTTTTTGTAAACATTTTAGAACCTTAGTTATAACGTGCTTAAATTTCGTACATTATCTGTGGTATTAATTCTATTATCTGGTAATAAGCTGCGTTTTAAGACAGTGTCCGAGAGAGGGTCTATCTTTCTTTCCACGCACTTTGTGTTATCTTTATGTTATCCTTTCCACGCACTTTATGTTATATTTTCTTCCTCGATAATGCAACTTCCGAGCGGCTTTAGACTTAATTTGTTGTTGTATTGGTGATAAATGGGGTGGCCCGGTGGCCTGGTGGCTAAAGCTCCCGCTTCACACACGGAGGGCCCGGGTTCGATTCCCGGTGGGTGGAAACATTTCGACACGTTTCTTTACACCTGTTGTCCTGTTCACCTAGCAGCAAATAGGTACCTGGGTGTTAGTCGACTGGTGTGGGTGGCATCCTGGGGGACAAGATTAAGGACCCCAATGGAAATAAGTTAGACAGTCCTCGATGACGCACTGACTTTCTTGGGTTATCCTGGGTGGCTAACCCTCCGGGGTTAAAAATCCGAACGAAATCTTATCTTATCTCATAGATAACAAGAACATTCCTCATCAGCTTAGCTTCACAACTCGTGTTTTTCAGAATAAGATTAGAATTAGTGTTTTTCTCTGTTGTTTACGTCTTAGTTTTCCCTTTTTACTGAAGAAATTGGTATGTTAATTTCCCATGTGATAAATTGTGAATGTTTTATGTGATTTCTTTTAAATCTTCAAAACTATTATTTAACTGCACCGGAAACTTAAATCGTTCTCTGCATTATACTTACGGTGAGTACTGAGGTACAGAGGCTGGAGTTACGCAATATGGGATGCCTTTTTTGACCATACAGCGATCAAAATATATCTGGTTACCTGGAGTATACCTAGAGAAGGTTTCGGGGGTCAACGCCCCCCCCCGCGGCTCGGTCTGAGCCCAGGCCTCGTGGTGGATCACGGTCTGATCATCCTCACTAATTTGGTGTCAAATGTGTTTATTTAGGTCTGACAGGTCTCGAGGGCTTGCACTGACCCTCTCAGCAAGGAAACCTGCCTTCAGCCAGGCTTTCTTCTTCATCACCTGTTAAACCAGTATGTTGGTGCTTGCGGCGCCTGATCTGTAAAACCATCACAACGTAGGTGCTAAGCCAAGAGGTATCACACTGCCTCACAGCCTGGTTGATCTGACATTTGGTAGAGATTGTCATCCAGTTTCCTCTTCGAAACTGCTACATTTGTTCCTGCAGTGTTTATAATACTTATACATAAATGGTACAATACTGACAAGATGAAGAATTAGACACATGTGCAACATCTGGGTATCTTTATTGTAGACGTTTCGCCATCCAGTGGCGAAACGTCAATGTAGAACTAAAGTGATAAATGGTTTTAAACCGACAAGTTGAAGACTGAGAAACTTATGTAACATATGGGAATCTTTATTTAAGGAACGTTTCGCCACACAGTGGCTTCATCAGTCCAATACAAATCAGAAGGTTGTAAGGAGAGGAGGAGTTTGAGGTAACCAGTCCCTCAGCTTGGAGTCGATGTGTTCAGTCCATCAATCTTGCAAAAAATGCAGCATCGGGCC